TGGAGTAAATGCAAAAAAAAATAGTTTACAAGTGAATTTGTTAGTAAAAAAATTGCGTCTATGTTAGTAATTGTAAGTGAAAAACATACCATTTAAACATTAGTTTATTTATAATTCTTTTTTAACATAAAATAAAAACCATTTTTGAAATAGTATTGAATTGAATATATTCGAATGTGTTGACTATTCAAATAATTCCAAAAAGGTGGATGTTCAGATCAACAAGTCTGGTTATAAAAATAATTCAAAATGTAATATTATTAATATTTTAACTATTATTTTTTTATTAAAAATAAAACAAGTGTCCATCAATTTAAAATAAATTATTATAGTTTTTGTTATTATATAATATTATTAATTAATTAATTAAAAGTATTTAAATACAAAAAAATATTTCAAAATATTAAATAATGTTCATTTTTCTATATTTTATAGTATATAAAATAAAGTTTTTAGACTCTTTTAAAAAAATACTATTCAACACCAAAAATTGTTATTCCAAAATAATAAAAAAATCTATTACATATAGTTCTTTCAACCCTACAAAGTAGAATTCGACACCAACACACACACATTTAGTCATCCGTTGATGATACATAACTAATTCTAGACCCAGTACTTGTCTGACTTGGGTCAAAAGCAGCCTGTGGGACAAGACCATTATAAAGAGCCTCGTCGATTATTTCCTTTTTCAAATAGATGAAGTCTGTGTTTTTGCCATAAATCTTGACATTTTCATAGAACTCAACGCCCTCATTAACAATCTCCTTTTTAGTCCAGTTTTTCTCAAGCTGAATATTCTCAAGAATGCGGCGTTCTGGGACAAAGTCCTTCTCGGGTTTTTTCTTGACGTCCTCCGTTAAGATAAAACCGAAGCACTTCTTCAAAATGTCGAGGAGCATGTTGCTGATAGTTGTTGTGGTGATAATAGTTTTTGCCCGCTTGGTGTTGGTGCCTTCTGGAAACTCGATTTTGTCGACTTCCTCTTCGACTTGTTTTCGACTCACCAGGACGTTCTCTTCATATCCAATTTCAACGATTTTAAGCTTCTGGTTCCGTCCGGCTTTTTGTGGTTTTAAAAGTGTGATGTAACACCCCAAGTAGTATAACATCATCAACAAAAAGCCTTCATTTCCGTAGTCATTTCTGTTGGCGTTCTGTCGATTGTTGCGCTTTCGCTCTTTGGATATCTCTTCTAAATCAATGTCCTCGTTTTCATCGTGAGTCGTCCGGGTCTTTGTCTCTTTGACGGTATTAAACTGCCGGATTGGTTTTGAATTTATTAAGGTTGTCGTCTTCTGACTTCCCATTGCCTGTTTTACTTTTAGAGTTTTCTTTATATCCCAAAAACTTTGGTATTTTTGATCGATGATTTGCTCTGTCGGTGTTCTAGCTTTTTAATTATTTAATATTACCATTTCATCTCTTTTCATCAAAAAATGACGTTTTAGTGTTAAGCCATAGGGCGTTAACTGTAGTGGCTCATTTTTGCATATTTCAGTGTTATTTTACATAACAAATAGGCAAAATGATAAAGTGCCGAATCATGTCTGTTTTTTAGTCCACATAAATCAAATATTTTAAAAAATTCATCACCCACGTGGTAACAATATTCTTTTTTGCGTTTTTTTGCTTTGTTGTTTATATGTTTTCAATTAGAGGTTTTTTAATTCCTACAAATCAGGAATATTAAATTATTTTTTTTGATTGTGTGGATTTTGGTTTATTATAAATAAATATTAAAACTATTTCACATTTATTACAACAAAAGTCACTTTTTTTTTTCTAATTTTTTTTTCAATTGTTTTATAAAAAATTAGTAAAAAAATTAATTTAACATATTAACATTTTTAGTTATAAAAACTTAATATTTGTTTTAAGTAATTGAGTTCTTTTATTAATTAGTTTCTTTAAGTGAGTTTAAATTATTTGAAAAATTTTAATTATTTATTTATAATGTTGGCATTTGGATTATTCAAATATAACTGGTTTGAAACAGAGTGCCAAAGAAATGATTTTTTTCAAATTATCATTTTGTATAAAATATTACTATTAAAAACGTCTATAAAAACGGGATTATTAATTTGGCACTTAACTAATAACTTATCTATATAATTTTACACTTTACTTGAAAAAACTCGATTTTGTGATTTTTTTTTATTGAAAGGCACTAGTAATTTTTGTTTTACAAAAGCGATTCTTTTTTCTACATCATCCCGATTTTTTATGATAAAAACTAATAAAATAGTTGGATAAATGTTACAAAAATGAAAGACAAAAATATAACCATTTTGTTTTAAAAATCTTTAAACAACATACATTATAAACAGTGTTTTTAACTTCTATATAATTTAAGTATTAACCAAATTAATATAAATAAAGATAATTATTATTATTTATAATGTATTGAACATAAAAAATTGATTTAAAAGATAGTACTTATCCCTCAAATCTAAAACAGGAACAAAAACTAATTTTAAATATTCAATAAACAAAACCATTAAACTTTATCAGAACTTTAAAATGAAATAAAAAATGTCAACACCGACAAGCATAGACACCTTGGTGGAATTGGTAGAGAAAAAAATAGACGCACTGAAAAAGGAACAAGAAATAATCGAGGCGCAGTTGTCAGAGTATTCCGACTGTCGCAGAAAAGTGCTTGAAAACGTGAATGAGTGGGGGGCGCCGAAGAGTATAAAACTTCAGACCTTCAGCACGGAAACCATTCCTGACGAGGAGCAATACACAAAGCCCGTCAGTTGGATATTACTGAAGCGAGTGGCTCAAGGCCGTGACTGGAGTTACAGTCGCAAAGACAAAGTATCAATGCTTGGGGTAGTCTTTAGTGTAATGGACACTGGCGAAATCACGGTTCGTTGGGATGACGGTGAGAAGACGCGATGTGTTTGGGGTAAAGCAGGGAAGTATGACGTCCGTGTTGTTCCATTCTTCCCAAGCCTTGTTTCATATTCTCCTGAAGAACAGAAAAAGCAGAGTGTGTCATGGCTCATAGGGAAAGTAGTGAAACGCAGAGAGGGTGAATGGAAATGGAATGATCAAGACGGTGGAGCTGGAAAGACTGGTGTTGTAGTATCTTCTGCGGGTGTTGGGTGGATTTTTGTTCAGTGGATGTCCGGAAATATTAACCAGTATAGATGGGGAGCAGAGCACTTTTACGATGTCGAAGCGGTATGTTGATTTCATCATTTCGTGTGTTTGGTGGTTTTACAGTTTGTCATTTCTTATAATTTTTCCTTTTGCAAAAGTTGTTATAATTTAATATTAAACAGATGCGATAGTCACTAATAATGTATAAATGCCGAGTAGATAAGTTGAATAATATCAAAGTTTTTCATATATTTTGAGTTTTCGCCGTTTTTGGAACTGAAAATGAATAAATGTCTTCGACAACAGGCATTCAGTTAATTGATGAATCGATTCCATGTTTTGAAAAGTGGACAAGTGTGCACGGAAAAGTCGTGTTACTTTATGACAGCAAAAAAGATGAAGGCAGTAATAAAACCTTCAACACAAGTGTTATGCATAAAACAAACGTATTTATTATTAACATCGACGAAAATGGCCATTTCTTCGGCGTTTTTGTGAAGAAACCAATGACATTAGATAACGGATTTAATGAGGACAGAGATCACTTCATTTTTGCATTAAATGGTGAAGGGAGAAAATCGCCTGAAATGTGGAGAATGAAAACCACTGAATTTGGTGGAATTAAGTTGATTAGAGATGACGACATTTTGTATGAAGTGGGGACGTGTGACGGGTCTTTTGAAATCTACAAAATTGGGATTAAAGAGTCGAAGTGTAATATGCTTGGCATGGTGTATAATGGAATGAGTGACAAAGATCTGAATGGAACTAATTGGATTAGAAAACAGAAGTTTGCAGTGAGTCGTGTTATTGCTCTTCAGATCTCCACTGACTAATTCAATTATTTTCAATACTTTTTATTATTGGGCAAAAACAGATAACAACAAAAGCAATAGTAAAAGAAGGGTAAATTAATCAGTAAAGCAGGAATAGGAATAAAAATATTATCTAATCCTGGTGGAGAATAAAACTCCACTGCCGCACCCAACAACGCGGAAATAAATGATTGCAAGACATAAAACTGACCAAAAACGTGATAGCATATAACTATACTTCCTAAAGTCCCTCCTAGACACACGGCAATCACCCCAGCCACCGTTTTAGTTTCATTCCAGGGCGTCTTTAATACTTTTGATGGTATTATTTTACCAAAGATTTCAGCTATACCGTCGCCAGTTACCATTACCATTAACCCAATTACAGAAGGAGGATAGCTTTTCCAAAATACAATTATCAAAAAGACCATAACAACACAATAGAATAATGGCCCTTTTGTCATTTCAGTTGCTTTGCCAGTTCTACATACGCTTGTTGTCATAAAGTCGACAAGCTTCCCACTGACATGACCCGATCCGAAAACGTAGAAAACGACACAGAATAACAAAAGTGGCAATACACACCAAAATCTAGTAATGAGGTCTGAACCCTCAAAATATTTGAAAAAAATCATAACAGAAACTCCAACAGAAATATGAACGAGTTTTCGAGAAAGGTATGGCGTAAATACACCTATTGATTTCATTGTAAAACTCACAATTAAAGACGCAGAGATACCTGCAAGTATGTACAAGGAAAGAACAATAGACTCCGCCATTTGGTTTTGGAGTTCTTTTCAGGTTCTTTAGAGATTACAGTCGTTTTTTGTAGCACTGGTTATTTGGGAGGGTTTTAGGTAATTTAGCAATTATTTTGATTTGCCGTTTGACTATAGAAAATAAGACTAACTTATTCAAAAGAAAAGATAAAAAATGGTAAATGCTCGATAATGCAATTTTGTATTAATAAATGGTTAAAAATGTAACGCTATTTTTAGTTTTCCATTTTATAATCCATTTTCGATTATTCTAAAATAGTAATTGGTTGTTTTTTAGAATTTTAGATTCTATTGCCACTTTATTATTCTTTTTCGATTTAAAAAATCAATAAAACCATTCATTTTTCAAATTGGTTATTCATTTGTAAATTAGAAGGTAATAATTGCATAAGAGCTTGAAAAATAGCATTGAATTGGGCATTTAAAAGTGTTTTGTCGTTCACAAATATTAAAAACAGAGTTCATTTATCGATAATATTTAGAGTTTAGTTTAAGTTTGATAATTCGTCACAATTTTTCAAATTTTAATTATTTTTTTGTTGTCGTTTTAAACTTTTTACACATTTTTTAATGTTTTTTCAAATTATTATACATCAAATGTTTTTGTTTTTTCAAAACCAAAAATGATTGAGATGTTAACAAGTATAATCATGAAGATAACTCCTTAATTTAATTATATTTTATATATGTTATAATTAACATGTTTGATTTACCTTTGAGCAATTAAAAAGGATTTTTATATCACTTAATAATATGTGAATCACAACCCATAGTCCAAACTTGAGCAAAATATAGATTTTTTTAATTTTAATATAATAATTAGCGTTCTGGTTGATGAATATTTTTTCGTCTGTTTTAATTGTTGTTCTGTTATACCAAATAAAAAGGTTGCAAAAAATATGACTTGTTTTTTTCTGAATAAAATTTAAGCTTTATTTAACCCTTAGACTATGGAAATTTATTTTAATATCTTATATGTCTGTGAGACTGAGTCAGAACCGAAAATTGTTGTAAACATTGGTATTCTTTTGATTTTGGTGTTTTAATTCAAACTTTTAGTTTGTTGTTACAGTCAAGATAAAAAGTCGGATGCTGAGAAAAAGGCGGATGCTAATCTAAATATAAATTTATTTTGGTGTTTTTCATTTTATTAATTATTTGAATGATTATTTATATTAAAATTTATAGTAATTATATAAATAGTAATATAAGTGGGATGCGGGTCTTAAATTAAAACTAAATATTTACTATATTTTATTTAAATGTTTTAACAAACTAATAAATGAAGTTGAAACTCAGAACTGTTATTATCAAATTGAACAACAATATCACCCGTTTGTGCTTTTAAAGAGATTATTTAAGTGTTGGGTCTATTTTATTGATGAAATATATATTCAATTATACATCCACATCAACTAACACATAGAACAGAGAAAGTGGAGGGAAAATGATAGTATTACATTAGAACGACGGAAGTAAAAGAACTCAATTGAAGCTTCTACAAACTTATAAAATATGATTTGTTTGGAAGAGGCAGTATGGTTTTATAATTCAAGGTGATGTCCAAGCTTACTTCTCCAAATCATTCCAAAATATAAATTCACACTGTTTCCATTGTGGAATGGTGTTGTGTGTTGACTACAGACTAAATGATTGTTTAAACTTGTTTTATTTCTTACTACTTTTTATTTAGCAATACAACTGATAGTTTTTTATGTCTGCTTATATTAATGCATATAATTATTTATTCATTGTGCTATATGGTTATGATAGTATTGAAAATAAACATTAAACATATAACTTATAACGTCTTGGGAGAGTTGTCATTCGTCAAGTCAACATCAATATACATTTAAAAATTAATAAATAAGAATTTATCAAAAATGAAAGATATGAACATTAAACTGTTCAACAACAAAAACGAATGATGTGGTTTTATTTTCTGTTATAAAAATAAAAATACTATAAATCAATCAAACTTTTAGAAGTATTAAGAATATTCATTTTTTGTACATATTATTTTTTGTTTGAAAAATAACCAATAGTTGCGAGCATCCGGCTTTTTCTAGCATCCCCTTATTTCCCCCTACTGTACATGTTTACTTTTTTAAAATTACCACTTTTTATTTTTGGGCTGTTTTTCAAAATGAAAATGTAACAATTTGCAGGGTCTTCCAAACCAGGATGGTTTTCAAAAAAAACTTAATATTCAACGAACTTGTAAAAAATAAGATGGTTTGATAGAAAACAAAAAAAAGAAAAAAAACATGCATTTTTCTTTTTTTTTGCTTTTTTTAAAAAAATAAAACGACAGTTAAAAAATCAATTTTATTAAATTTTTATATGTATTAAACAATTTCTTATAAATATATTGTTTAATTTAAAAAAATAAAAAAATAACATTAATTTTTTTTTCATAGTAAAAAATACATGAAATTAAGTTTAATGTTATTTTAATTATAATTTATAACATTTTAAAACGAGTAATAATGTTTTAATTGGATAATTAAAAAACATTAAAAGTTGAAATCAAATAATTATAAACTTTAAATTTTAATGCCAAAAAAGGTGGAATGGCTTTCAGAAAGACTTGTCGACAAAATTGATAAAAATACATTTTTTTGTATTGTGTGTGGCAAGTGCTTTACGCGAAGTGGTATGGAGTACCACTACATAACTCATTTGAACATTTTAAATGATAATGAAACAAAAATTAATATAATTAAAATGTATCTGAGAGGAAAACAATTTGAAAATGATTACAAAGGAAAAAGAATAGAAACATTCAAAGAGGAAAAAATAGAAGCAGACGAAGAAGAGTCAAAAAAAATATTCGAAATTGAGTTGTTCATTGTAAAAATTTTATCAGAAAATGACATGATATCAAAAGCTTGTCCGATAGAAAAGATATTAAACGCCATTTTGGCTTTTATTGAAATTTTTGGTGTTGAAGCCGCAAAGAAAATACACATGTCAGGAAGTACTTTAAGGAGAAGAAGTCTAGTGGTTTTTGAGGAGAAGAAAACTGAAGTATCACATTTAATTAAAAAGGCATTGTACGTCGGAATCCAATTGGATGAGTGCAAAATACATCATGATTCTCAATACGTGTTTTGTTGTAGAACAGTTGATATTGACGGCGATGTCAAAAATATGGTTCTTGAATTAAAAACACACAATGGTTCTTCGACTGGTGAAGCAATCTTTGAATTGACCAAACAAGTTCTTTTTAAATTTTCAATAGACCCTCGTAAAGTGACTTCTGTTACGGTTGATGGTGGTGCAAATGTTTCAGGAAAGAATAATGGATCAGCCATAAGAACATGTAAAATGGTCAATGAATTACAAAACGACTTTGTTTGTGGTAAAGTTCACTGTAATTGTCACAAAATAAATCTCATCTCAAAGACGATTGAAAAAATTCCAGTTGTTGCAAATTGTTTGGAGATGTTTAAAGTTGTGTATTCCATTTTATCCGAAGATTCGACGTGGTGTTCACAGCATATTGAGGCGGTACCCACTTGGTGCCCAACAAGGTGGTTGAGTCAAGGGAAGATTGTTTTTTTCGTTCGAGTTCACTGGACTGATATTGAAAAGAGATTGTCAGAAATGGAAAAGGAAATTGTATTTATTGGAGACGTTGAAGTGAGTGAACTGACTACATTTTTTCGAGATAACGCAAACTATGTCGTTTCAAGTTATCTTGTTGATACTTTAAATACACTTTGCGACCTCAATCAATCTTTGCAAGGAACGAATGCATTTATGTTTCATGAAATGGGTGTTATAAGGAATTTTTATATGGAATTGAGAAACAAAGTCGTGAAAATAAGTCAATACAATTTTTCTTCTTTCGAAACCATAAAAGACTTGAAGTTCGAACCAGACTGTTTCATTCATGATTTCATTGACATCATTCTTACCATTATATATGGCATGGAATTCCGTTTTCCATATGTAAAATGTTCGTCCTTTGATCATTGTTTAGAGATGAAATTCTCGGAAATTGAACAAAAAAGTTTATTTGCTTTATTTTTTGGAGAGTATGTTGAAACATCAAAGATGTTGCCTAAAGAATATACTCAATTTAAAGACGACATTGATATCATTAAAAAAATAAGAAACACCAAAGTTGTTGATGTAAAGAATGTGAATGGGTTTCCAGATCTATTGGCATATAAAGATATGATAAATAGAAACGGGGAACTGTGGAAATTTACTCTCTATATCATGTCGATATTCCCGACAAGTGTTATATCCGAATCAACATTTTCTATTGCAAAATATACTTGGAGACCCAATATAAAACAAAACACTTTTAATATGCGTGTTGTTTTGAAGCAACTTAAAAACGTCTTTAATTGAAAAAAATGTATTTCATTGTTCTTGATTAAAACCATTTTAATTTATTAAGCCAGATTTTGTATTATTTTACTATTTAAATGTAATAATTTAACTAATTATTCAATTCTATTTTGAATTAATAGAGGCTTAAATCATTTTAAAAATAAATATTTTTATGTATTGTTTTAAGTTATTTTCGCTACGTGTTTACCATTTTTATATATAATTAAAAAATTATTTTTTGAAAAAAGAAACGGCTCAAGGTGAATTTTTTTTGTTTTTTGCCACGTATTTAACAAAAAACTGGAACTTGAAAGACCCTGGTAACAATAAACAGTAAAATCTTGTATTTTAACTGTTGTTATTATATTAATAAAAATTATAATTTAATAGGTGCTTCCATTAAAATTTACGATAATTTCTCTAGTTTTATCCAAATACATGTGTTTACTGTTGTGTGTTGTAATATGAAAAATATTAACATGATAATTAATAAAAACAATTGTATATAATAACTCGTTTATATGTAATTATAAACAAACAGCTGTTGAATGAAAATTGAGTATATTGAAGTAGTTACACACTGAAATAGATAACAATGATTTATATTTGTTTTTTGTTTTAACAAAATGAGACATAAATTACACAAAAGTAACAATCAATTTTCAAAAATAACAATGTCACAAACAATCATTATTCAACTGGATTTTTATTAAACAATTATATTTTTATTTAAATTATTGTAAATTTGTTATTTATATATTTAAACGTTTATTCATTTTGATAACTTTGTTTTATGAATAATTGAAAACATACTATCTTAAGGGTTAAATTTGTTTTTTGGATACTTTGAATAGTGTTATTAATATTTTTAAATGTTTCAGTGGTTGTATTAACATTATTTCATAATATCAAAGTGGTTAAACACAATTATGATCAAATGTCAATAAATTCTATGTCATATATAATTAAATGTTATATACATGTTATATATAATATCGATAGAATATATATATAACATATATATATTATTTTATATGTGTTTATGTTATTATAAATAGCAGATATATTGATAACTTAATTATGTAACTTGTTTGAACATCCTCTTTTTTGCTTACAAATACGTTACATTACTAAGATATTGGATAAATCTTTTTAACTAATAAATTGTAAAAAAGTAACATGTGAATTATACAAAAAGAGTTGAAAGACACAAATTTTGACAGCTACATGTTGCTATTTCATTGAAGTGTTTGTCAGGCGCATTAAGTGAGAAACAAGGAACCTTAAAAAATATTTCACACCCCGAAAGAAACATGCAGTTGAGTACAAAATTAAACAATTCTATTAACAGTACAGACATACCTTTTTCAAGTCCTTTTTCTTTTGATTTAAGATAACACTCTGTAACAAAAATGTTGACAAATTTTGACTTCCCACAAAAAGGGGTGTCGACGTATTTTTTAAATAATTGGTCAAATACATATTTCCGTCCTTCCATGACGGCGTCTCTGAAAGCAGTAAAGAAGCAAGGATCACAGATTTCAAAGGAGCTGACAATTTTATGTGAAATTTTTTCTTTAATAAGTCCAGTTGAGTAAAAGTCCAATATCTTATGTTTATTAGTAGACGCAGAAGCAAATGAAAGTGGAAGGAGGTTATTTCTCTGGATGTTTAGTATTAATCTGTGATACCTAGACGATTGAAGCTCTATCATTTAGTTTCTAGTTGATGTGTTTTCTTTTAACCTTTTGACTCAAAGTTGGTGGATGATGCTTCTATATTTCGAATGACTCAAAGCGGTTTTGTTTTTATTTTGCGATGTTTTAATGATAAATAACGGGATTAATTATATTTTTTAATTTATATACAATTTAAATTAAAATAAATTTAATAAATAAAATAAATATGTATTATTAGTAAATCTAACTTATTGAAATTATATTTCTTATAATATAATAAATAATACTAATTCTTAAACCAAATGGTTAATTATTTTTTGGAGTAATAATTTATTTATATTTTCTAAGTTTTATAATAATTTACTAATAATAAATCAATAAAATAATAATTGTTCATAATAATAAAACAAATTATTTAAACAATTAAAATTATAAATAAATTATTAACCATTTACAAATGACGAGATTTAATTTTTTGTCATTCCAAAAATAAAAATATCAAAAAAGTAAAAATAAAAATATGAAAAGTAAACTATAATTAACCATACTATTTTAATATATTAAACCAATGTGTTTTGTTGTTTTAACTATAAACTAAAAGACCATACAATAAACACACAATGAGTGTTCAAGACGAAACGCAATACGAAGTACGCGTTCAACTTAAACAACTCACCGCCGAGTACACAACTTCACAATTTGATTTTTCAACACCAGTGTTTGTGGATACTCCAAAGCTTCAAGAATGGTATCAAATGACAATCCAAGGACAGACACTACAATTTGTCGACTGCCCCAAAAAGAAACAAAAGCAATTTCCTCAGTATCTGAAACACGACACAATCACTGTGCAACAAAATTTCGTCCGAATGGAAGACCAAAAAGGAACTCCAGAAGATCCACGGCTCCTTATTTTTTCCGAAACACGACCAATGGTTAGACGAACGTTTGAGGTTGTGTTTAACTCAAAGGACGTTCGCAATGTTGTGTCAGAACGGCTTGCACACGATACAGCAAAGGCCAGTCAACGTCAAATATTTGGTGTTTCACTTTTGGAATACCACAAAAAGTCGGGACTTTTATTCCCAAGCTTTTTGGCAGACGCTACAAATTACATGAAACAGACCAAAAACTGTTTTAACCTGATAGTCCCGACAGATCTTGTTATTACAACGTGCAAGTCCATTGAAAATGCCACACCATTCCAGTGGTCGTATTCATTGGCAATTGAAGTGTTAAAATATTACTTTCGAAGTCTTCCAACGCCTTTAATCCACCCCCACACAGACTACCTAAGATGCTTTGACCAAAGTGGAGCACTCATTCGAACTGAATTGATGCGGCTGATTAATTCAAAATGCGAAGAAATTTATGAGGTACAGTCACTACTCTTCACAGCACTTTCTGACTTGGCCTCGGAAAGGATATCAAAAACACCACAAAACTTGGCAAGTATATTTACACCGTCATTGGCGTGGAACCAGGGTGGGTCCATGGACAAGAGGATGTACGCATTGGTCGAGTTTCTTATTTCAAATTCAAAGGACATATACCTTGAGTCCTCACGACTCTCTTTCCAGTAATTTTTATTTATTCACTCTTCGCATCGAGACGTTTTAGGGTTTTTTAGGCTCTCGCAATGGGACACACAACACTTTTTAAAAACTATTTATGTATGGTTGGTTTACTATAAATAATAGTTTATAGACCCCACCAATACACATTGAGAAATTGAAGACCCAAAAGTGTATTATAAAAAAAAAGGGTTCATGTACATGGGAAAATGAATTGAAAAGGAGTCGAGTGTGGAAGTCCAAAGAAAGAACGCAATAATGGGAATTAGAATGGATTGACTAACCCTAAAAAATCAAATCGTAAAAAAGAATACGCATGTCGAAAAGCAACAACCCACTGAACCCAAATCGTGTTGCGGACCCAAGCGTTGGCAAACCACGTTCAAAGGCCACAATTAATAGACTGAAAATGTACCGCACCAGAGCACACCACGACAAAAACGGAAAACTCAGATGGCAAGAACTTCAGTCGCAAGAACTTTCAGATACCCGAATCCAGCCAGACAGAAGATGGTTTGGTAATGTACACAGTATCGGTCAAAAGGAACTCGACACATTCAGAGAAAAACTGACTGAAACTGTCCACGACCCTTCACAAGTCATTTTGAAGTCACAAAAGGTGCCTTGGAACTTACTTGAGATCAAAGAGAAGGAGTACAAGGGCGGCGTATTAGAGGCCGAGCCATTCACTGAGGTGTTTGGAAAGAACTCGAAGCGGAAAAGACCCAAATTAGCAGTGTTGGAAGAAGCCGAGTTGGTCAGAAAAGCGCAGGAAAGACAAGAGAATTACGATGTGGAAAAAGACAAGAACATCAAAAACGATGACGACTTCAACACGAAGATGACAAAGGAGAAATTGTACGAGAAAGGCCAGTCTAAGCGTATTTGGGGTGAGTTGTGGAAAGTTGTCGACTCTTCTGATATCATTATCGAGGTTCTTGATGCCAGAGACCCAATGGGAACCCGTTCGAAACACGTCGAAGAGCACATCAAGAATCACATGAAGCACAAGAAGATCGTTTTAGTACTCAACAAGTGTGATTTGGTCCCGACATGGGCGACGGCGCGTTGGATTCAAGTGCTCTCGAAAGAGTTTCCGACCATTGCGTTCCACGCATCGATGGAGAACCCATTTGGTCGTGGGAGTTTGATGAATTTGTTGAGACAGTTTGCGAGTCTGATGGTTGACGGTGATCGACAGATCTCTGTAGGGTTTATTGGGTACCCTAACAGTGGGAAGTCGTCAGTGATCAACACGTTGAGAACACAGAAAGTGTGTAAAGTGGCGCCAGTTGCTGGACAGACGAAAGTGTGGCAATACATCACTTTAATGAAAAACATATACTTGATTGATTGCCCTGGTGTAGTACATCCATCGGATGACACGGAGACAGACATCATATTGAAAGGTGTTGTTCGTGTTGAAAATGTGAAAGACCCTGAGCACCATATACAAGGAGTATTGGACAGAGTCAAAGAAGATTATATGAGAAAGACATACGACATTAAACAATGGGAAGACGCTGAGGATTTTTTGGCCCAACTTGCACGAAAAAGAGGGAAGTTGTTGAAGGGAGGAGAGCCCGATTTACATATTGTTGCGAAATTGATCTTGTACGACTTCCAGAGAGGAAGACTCCCTTACTTCATCGCACCACCAACACCAAAACTGAATGATACCGTTGACACAGACTATAACGACGTTCTCAAGTTGGAGAAACAACAATTCAATCAACTGAAGACAGAGATGGAGTTCAATGAAGCTGATATGAAGAACAAAGATGAGATTGATGTCGACCAAGAGAATGATATGGATGAGCACGTCGACCACATAGAAGAAGTGAAAGACGAGGAAATCAAAAAAGAGGACGAAGATGGCAAGATGGAAATCGTCGAGGACGACGTGTACGTGAGTGACGATGAAGAAGATAAGATGAACGATGAAAAGTTGCTCGCGACTCGAAAAGAAAGAATGGAAAACATGGACGGACTTGGGAAGAATGCAAGACGTCGAAAGAAACAACTTTTAAAGATGGAAAGGAAAGAGAACAAAAACAAAGGAAATAAAGAGAAAAAGCCAAGGAAAGAGAAACCAAAAACTATTTCTCGAGCTCGAAGACACCAAGGCGTGCCAAAAGCGTTGATTTGATTGATTCGATTTGTTATCACTTGTTACTATTATTTTACTATTATTTTATTAAATAAAATAGTTTAATTGGAATTAATGCATAAGACGTAAATATGAACGAAAGAAGTGATTAAAACTTGAAACCACATGACGGACAGAACTTTGCACTGCCAGTGCACAACTCCCCACAGTTGTCACAGAACTTCTGTCCTTCGACTTTGATGACTTTTTGCGGAGTTGCCGTCGCGCTTGAAGTCTGCGAAGATGGTTGGGAAGTGTTTGTTAAATTGCCATCATCGTCGACAACTCTGTTTTCTTTAGTCTCGCCGAGGTGTCCGTTGTTAATTAAATTCTCATAAGCCTCATCTTTGGCTGTTTCGGATGCACGAGCCGCTGGCGCTTGTGTGTCGATTTCGGCGACAAAAGTGACGATGAACGAAGGAATCGCGCAAATCCTTTTCAACTTGAATTTGCCGTATTTAAATTCGTAGTCCCTTCCGTCGCGACCCAACAAGACTCGACATAAGATAACACGGTAAGGGTGATACCCATCTTTAATTGCTAGGGACACGTCGTTTGTGAAGAACGCGTTGAATTCCGGTAAACATGCACAACCCTCGTTAATGATTTTGTCGAAGTATTCGGCTGGAGGGCATATCCACACATTTTTGCTTTGGAGGAATTTGGCACCGATCGTTCCTTTGAGTTAAGTTCTTTGTTGTGAGGAATATTAGAATAATATTACTTAGAGTACTATTACTAAGATTTGGTAAATAATTAATTGTGTGTTTTATTCATATTACTATTATTATATTTAATACATAATACTATACTGATTGTAATAAAAAACTAACTCTCCATTTCAGAACGAGTGTTCTCAAAACTCATTAACATTGGGGCACATGGCATCACCTGTTCGATGGAATCAATTTCATATTTTTGTGGATTTGAGTTGTTCTCATTCCACTGCTTGGTGACTATACGTTTTGAACCCTCAGTTGCTGGTTTGACCACTGTTGGTCGCTTTGACATTTCAATTTTCAGATTTGAAGTTTCAAGTTTAATAACTTGTCAAACTAAAAATCCGTTTTTGGTTTAGTTTCATGAAGAAGTGGGAATGCATGGATTTCTTTTAATCCATCGGGAAGACGAATTGTTTAATTGAAATTCTATGCGAAAAAAAAGAGCTATACTATTAAATTATTTATAACTATATAAATAATACTGTTTGTGTTCCCGCTTTTTAACACGAAAGGCGAGTAATTTACTTATTTAAATAATAAATAATGATACATCAAACTAATATAAATTATTTTATTTTATGAAACCCAAAAGCGTTGATTTTATATTTCATAAGCAATTTTTACACAATTTTTTGACAATTATTTGGATTGTTTATGTTGCTTTCAAGATTAATCTTGAAATATTACTGTTTGGTAATTCTATCGATAAAAAGCTTTATAAAACATTAAAAATGAAAAAAATGGCCGAAATTGCCGAGTTAAAAAAACTCAACTATACTCAAACTATATATCAGCAAATAAGAATCTATTGTAAACACATTAACTCTTGAAGCGAAGAAAACGTTTATAAACACACAGGTTGACATAAAAAAGCCGAATTTGTCAAGCCGTCTTTTTATGAAGTTTTCTCGAATCAAAAGGCGTTGGACTGCAAATTGATAATGGCCATAGACATGAACGAACACCAAACTACTCTTTCAGCATTCACTCTTAAACCAATATACGTTGACGAGACTGGAAGTCTCTGTACAATAGAACGCACTGAAGACACCAAAAAAGTGAATATGTTGAAATCAAAAAGGAAGTCTGCAAACAAAGACTCTGCACAACAGTCTTTTCTTATTGCAATTTTGATTCGAAATGGGTTCTATATAAAAATCAAACGACTCTATAAACGGGGTAAGACAACTGCACAAATATTTGTAATTGAAAGAATAGCAAAAGAGGGAAAGACTTATTTTGACTCTTCAAAAAACAGAGACCCAACAGTCGATCAAAAAACAAGAAGAAGAAACGCAGATGCTTTAACTAACAAAGCACTTATGGATATAGCAGTCTATTATTGTAAAACTTATCTCGAAGAGAAAAAGGGGAAAAGTGCTCGGAAATCTGTTAAAATGGTGAGGTTCTCTTCCGCTCAAGTCGACGGAAAAGACTACAACTTGGATCAAATTGAATATATTGGAATGATCACCAATCAACTCATTTTGGACATCATGAGTAGGACTTCTTCCGGAATTGAACTCGACGCGTACGACTCAAGGTTTGGTTCGGTATTCTCGTTATTGTAAAGAAATTTATTTATTACATTGATTTCTGTCATTTGCTGGATATAAATAGTTGCATTTTTGGTCGAATCGACTTTTGAGTTTTTCAATGATTTAAAAAGTATTTTTGGAATGGCTTTGAATGTGTTATTCGTTGTGTTTTCATTCTTTACCGTTTGGTGTTTGAATTTATATCATCTCAAATTGGTTTTAAATCAGTTAATATATGCCATTGGTTATTTCCCTTTTAATAAAAAAATTGGAGAACAAGACTTGAGAAGTAATAAAATGATTTTTACCAATACATGTGATGTTTAACTTAAACTCGTTGTTTGTGACATGAACAAGATCCATTTATTTAGTTTGTAAAAACAATCATCAATGTTGAATGTTAAAATAGTTTTGCCCAAATATTATCTTGATTTAAGATTGCATATAATTATGCAATTATCAGTAATTTTATTCATTTATTAGAACGAGAAAATAAAGTCCAACGTCAAAACGGTTGTCTGGTGATTAAGCTTTTATTCCTTTTAATCAAAAGGATTTTACCAAGATAAATGGTTTGTTTTTTAAAAGACAAGAAACCAATAATTTTGTTTTCAGAATCTGAAACGAACGTGAGCTTGGGGCAAATAAAAAAATTAAAACACATTTTATGTTGACCTTAAAAAAACACAAATTAAAAAAAACAAACATATCATTGATAAACATTCTTGACTCATTTGGTAAGAGACATCATATAAACATTTGATTAAATTTTTTCGTGTTGTAAACATATTAAAAAAACATCAGTGCGACAAAAATGAATTAAATACAAAACAACAATAAGATGCATTTATCTGATATATCTGTTTTAATACAAATAAAAAATAAAAATTCAACCAAAACAAATAACTAAAAACAAGTTGATTGTTACACAAAAACAATATTAAATAGAAGAAGATGAATCCTCACTGACTTGAAACTGTTGAAAAAGTCTGAGGAGTACCTCATTTCTCGCTTTCAAGTATTGAATTCCATTCTTCAACTCCGAGTTTTCCTGTTCAAGAGCAGTTTCTCTGTTACCCATCCAATCCGTCATACTCTGTGTTGCGCACAACACATTACCGTCGACTATTTCTCTATTGCCTTTTACCAATTGAAACACCTTTTCAAAACCATCACCGAAACAATTTGAGATGCTTGATAACTCACTTCTTATGATGTCGACCATCTCATGATAGCTTTCGTCTTGTTCGACTCTCTTCACACCTTTCGATGCGGTCGCGTATTGCAATGGTCCATTCAACACTTTGTGATATGTTATATCTACGGCTGTGATAAATCCACTTTCTTCCGCGGTGTTAGACTTCACCTTCACCAACTTTCCATCGGCTCGTTTGAGTAGCGTCTGAATGTTCTTCAGAACGGATGGGGTCGATGCAAGTGGCGGTAAGAAGAATCTTAAGAAGAGTAAAGTTTCCATACACGTCGAAGCTTCTTTCTCACCTCTTTTTAAGTAGACTGCGTTGTATATTCTTCGCAATATATACATCAAATGGGAGGGCATTTCGTTCTCTGTGAGGAGTTGTGTGAAGGTCTGCAAAACGTCTTTATTGAGTCCTATCATGTAAGCCGAGTTAAAGAATTCGTCGTTTTGATTCAACTGAGAAATCTTGAGTTTAGCGGCCTCAATGACTTCTTCAATTGGTGAGATAATAGTGTTCAGGTAGTTACCACAAAACATCTTTAAGTACTCCCCAAACACTCGTGTGAATGGGGAATTTCCTCTGAAGATTTCGTTGTGGGAGTTCTCGTTTCGGATCTCGTTCTCGGCCAACAGTGTAAGAAGCTCTGTGAGGTATCCACGTGACTTAAAGTACTTTAAGAGTATCCTGACGTGGTAATTGTTGTAATCACTTCGAGCCAACAACTAGTTATTAGAATTTTGTTATAACCATTTCCTGTCATTTGAAAAGGAATTCTACTTAAATCATATGACTTCTATATTTAGATTATTGTAGAATCATTGATGAATAATATAACATTGATAATGTAAAGTAATACAAACAGCTTTTGAGTAAGCAAAGAGCAGCTTTGCGTCGGACTCGATGAAGTAAGAAGTGAGGTTGTCTTCATTTGATCGGAACACTTTAGGCTGGACTCTTTGGACAAATTCAATCGTTGGCGTGTACATTTTTTGGACAATGTGTGACCTTCTCCCAAGACTGAATGAGCTCTCCGAGCCAAAAGAGAGAGGAGAGTTACAGTGAGACCCAATCGACTGGCACGTTGATGATGCGAACGATCCAGACGGAGACAAAACAGCATGGATTGGGTACTCGGAAGGTGTGCTGCAGGTGCTAGTCTTTCTGTACTTCAAGAAGGAGGACATAGTGGTGAATTCAAGACCAAGATCCTCCTTATAAAGCGAAACAACATTTTGAAATATATTTTGGGTGTGCTTAATTCGAAAAGCGCGAAAACATAGAACAATTGTTCTATATATAAACTGTAACGAAAAAAAAGCATTGTGAAAAAATTAATAAAAAGGGTGAACCATATCTTTGACTCAATCAACTACAAGTATGGTACAGGAAAAACACCTGAAGCCAAATAGTTTTTGAACGATTGTCTTTAAAACAGAAAAAGATAGCAAAAGAAGTATTTCTTGTATTTGACGATAGTGACAAGCAACGGATCGGGTGGAGTCTCCAATTTTGTGAATCAAAAAGTGGTTTTGAAACATGGAGGTTGTCGATTTCTTCCAAAAATTTTGCAAATGGAATTCTAAATCAGCGATCGTTCAAAGAAAAGCTCAAAAAACAAGATGGATGCGGTTTTTTTGGGAAAGAACGCGGGAAATCAGTCATTAAATATAGTCATTACAAACAAAAACTTTTATAAATACACAGAGTAAAAAAATGAACGTCCAATTTGGGCATTATAGACTGTATTTTTCTATATATAAATTCGCATTGGTACCCCTCTACAAAACTAACGCTCGTTGGATCAATGCCAATTACCAGTTTCTGCTGCTTCCCGGTTATTCCTCTGACTTACAGCTTGAATTTGCCTATATATTTATATTAAGGACCTAATGGCTGCATATGCCCTCTGATATTGAATCTTCATAAACAAAAATAAAAACTTCCCACCAGTACGCCCGTTCTTTGGCCATTGGCAGCCTATTTCCAATAAAACACTCCCTTTTGGATATTATTTGTTATAAAACCCCATTACTTTTTTTGGAATTTGAAGCTCAGTCGGGCCGGAGATGCTTTTCATATGAATGAAGTCTGTTATTTCCCGTTCATCCCGACTCATTCCACAAAATAGGTCAATTTTTTGAGTGTAAAAGAAAAGGAGCCAACACCAGTTTTGGTGTCGCAATCAAAAAACCATTTTTATTATTTTTTTGAAAAAACTACGCATAACCAATTTTTGTTACCAAACTCCAAACAAGTTATCTACTCAGATAATTCATTTTACTAACTAAAATAGTTGGATTTGAAGCAAAAACAACAATTCAGTTAAATTGCACGGCACAATAATTCCTCAATCGTTACGGAGTGTAATTTCAGACTTGCTTCCGTATTTTTACGTCGCAAATCGGGACAGTGTAATTCTTTGAGTTTATTTATTTTTGATAACCATTCGACAATCCACGTATGGTTCAAGTGGATAAAATCCCGACTTCTTATCTGTTTGTAATGTGTTATATTTATATTTTGTTCGTTTCCTATTTTTGTTGTATACATTTCAAATAAATTTCTGTATACCGATTTTCTCTGTTTTGAAAATCGTTATAAACCACTGTAAATTTGAGAGACATGGTTTTGTTTAGAAATGAGATGGCTCACATCATT